CACAGCTCCATATGTCTCCTTTTTTTGGTATTTTCACGCAAATTCTTCCGCTAGTTGGGGTTTAGTCCAATTCTGTATCCTTCCCTTCAAGGCTCAGTGGTCCAAGATTATCTTCTGTGTCTGTGTTAATTGGTTTCCCTTTTCTTTGTTGAAGAGAGTCTTTGCAATCCTTCTGCCTAGTCTGCCATCTTGCCGGAAGCTCCTCTTCCATTCACTTTAGCCACTCTCCATTCAAGAACAAGTTTCAGAGGCTCTTCTGACATCCATTTTGGTATTTTCTTCCTTTCCTATCTTTTTAATGACTGTTTGCTTTCTTCATGTATAATATTCTTTATGTTTTCCCACAACACATCTGGTTTTCTGTTATTGGTGTGTAATGCATCACATCTGTTCTTCAGTTGGTGTCTAAATTCAGGTGGGATATAATCAAGGTCATATTTGGTTTTCAGGAACTAGGAAAGAATAGTTTGTTTGGAGGGGGAAAAAAAAAGAATAAAGATAGCTCTGATCTGGGGGCTAAAACCAAAAACCAGACCCACTGCTCTCGAGTCAATTCCGACTCCTGTAGGACAGGGTAGAACTTGGCTGGTAGATTTGAACCACCATCCTTTTGTTTAGCAGCAGAGAGCTTTAACCATTGTGCCACCAGGCCTCCTGTATTTGGGGCAGTGAAAGGAAAAAAAGACTGCTTATAGACCCCAGACAGTAAGAGATAAGAGTTGAGCAACAAAGTGTAAATTTTTTGGTTGAAAACTGATTCAGTCCTACAGTAAAGGTCAGATTAAGGGTAAGGCCTTTCTTCATATAGTGGTTCTTATTCATGGCTGCTTATCAGAATCCCCTTGGTCCCTCCTGCAGAACTTCTGATTTAATTGCTCTGCAGTACAGAAGGATTTTGAAAAAGTTTCCCCAGGTGATTCTACTGTGCAGCCAAAGTGGAGAACCACTGACCTGTTGTTTTCTTTGGCTTCCAGGTCACTGCTATTAGTTTAAATGTCAAGGAAGCAAAGAAAGAAATCAGATTTGAGAATTATGTCTAGGAAAGAATTTTGTTTGTGTGGTTATTGGCACATGGAACTGACTGAAAACAAATAGATCAAAGGCTTGCTGAGTTATTGAGGGAGTTATGTTGTCAAAGAAACCATGAGCTTGGACTGAACAAGCCCTTGATAGTTTGAGCTGTTAAACCACTTATGAAAACCTGGGACATGGGTTGTGAAGGTTGTGCAGTACTAAGGAGAGCATGCTCCCAGCACCCTCACCTGCCAGGAGGATACTGGACAAGAAAGAACCTCCTATTCCTCTTCTCCCATTATATGTTGGGAATGGGAAGAGAAGGGTGCAGATAATTTGTCTTTTTAGTTATTAGGTCTCATAATAAGAACCTCTACATTGGCCTGATGAAGAAGACTACACCATACTGGGAGATCCTTTACTAACAGTTTGATGAACTGACTGGATGGAACTTTGAGTTTTCTTTCTTGGTGGGTTGATTGTGTTCTATGTGTAGGAAAATGAGGGAAAACAGATATTTGGTGATTAAAAATACCAGTATCTGTGTTCAGTGTTACTAGATTATGTAAGTTGCTTCCTTGTACCTGGATTGACCATGTGACTAGTTCTTACCAATAAAATAATTTGTTTGGAAGTGATGTGTGTTATTTCTGGGCCAGGGCATTTTAAAGCAGGTGGTGTGTGCCTTCTCCATCCTGTCTTTACCCTTCCTAATCCAGCTATACATTGGCCAAATGGAAAGGACTCCAAGGAAACTAGCTGAGGCAGGAGCCCTTATGTAGCAGGAGGCTAGGTATCTGAATGGGTGGAGTCGAGCACCTCTCTTAGTCTACATTAGACTTGGACATGAGTGAGAAATCAGAAAGAAGAATCAGGTGTAAAGAGATGGAGAGATTGGAATATTAAATATAGAAGTCATATAGGCCTTATTGAGAAAGTGAGATTTAAATAAAGACTTAGATGTCTGCCATTAGGCATCTGGGGTACAGCAGAAGGAATATTCATTGTTAAGACCTAGGGCTGAAGTGTGTCTCTGAATTCAGGGAATGCCCAAGAAGCCAGTGTGGCTGGAGTGAATGA